CAGAAGTGGTGTTCTTGCGCTCGGCATGAGATTCCGACACTGGGTGTGCCATCGCCACGCCGCTGCGGAGTGCCTGGCCGGAGCGCCGAAGGACGGAGAGTGTTCACATGTCAGTATGGCTCGGCATTCACTGAGAACTGTTGCACTTCTCTGATACAAGGTTTTCACATGTTGTCACACAGTCAGACACAGATCCGCCTTTCTCGACAACTTGTAAAGACATCCTTCCCACGCACGGTCTACTAGTGAGTTACGCTTGGGCCCAGAACATGCAAGTCCTCTTAAACCGCCTGGAAGTCTGGAAGAACATGCAAGTCTCGGAAGGCACCTCGGCCGTTGGACGGGCTGCAGATGCCTTGGCCAATGTCAAATCTCTTCTATTCTGAAAAGGTCAATTCTCTGAAGGACGCACCTCTGCTTGCGGCTTGCAGAGTGCACACGCAGTCTTCCTGCATTCCTGTCAGACTGAGCCGAGGGCTTCCAAGTCCAGACGGCTTCCTTGGCGGAAAGCGGCGATCTGCCTGCCCAGCTCTTTGCCGAATGCATCCACGAATCAAGTTAGTAACCCGAAGCTTTAAGTAAGGCTCTGCACCTTGCCCTCCTGGTTTCGTGGGCCAGGACCTCCAAGCTCTCTGCTTCGCCCACATGACATGTCTCATCTTTATCGCACCGAGCGCTGGGCTTTGGCCACGGGACGGAGGCTCCGAGCAGGGTAAGAGCGCTGCCTCCCCCGCTCTCAGCCCGCAGAAGTCTAAGGATCACAAGATTGTACTGCTGTCGTCCGGTATGCATTATTACACAGTTGTCTGATTTCCACCCCGGCTCTGCCGGAACTTGGGTAGCCTGTAGCACAGCCAGTGCGCCGCCGGTGGCAGCACCTCCATCACCTCAAAGGAGACGTGCGTAGCAAACGCAGACTGCCGTAAATTGAGGCCATCACTGGCTGGACGAGTGATTGGAGGAGGCCGCAAGCTTGCCATCAACTCCTGAAGCACAGGAATGGTGCCATTGCCTCTCCCCTGGGTACACAAGTTCCGAATGCACAGCAGGCCTCAAGGCTGTCGTCGAGGTCGCCTGCCCTACCTTGCCAACAACTCTCCGAGCATGACATGGGCGAGCAGCCGGTTTTACCGACCAGAGCCCTAGAAACAGACGTGCCGATTCCAGCCGCTGATGCAACGCGAAAGGCAAGCTGTTTCAAGTCTTGAGGGAACAATACCGCAGCATGCGGAATGTTCGAAAGCTTCCCGAAGTCCGGGCGCACTGTGAACAACAGTCAGTGCCACCATTGCATCAATTTGCAATCAAGTGGCCCTTTGGAATCACGGCATCTCTTCCTGGGATTCGAACCGCTTCAATATGCATGTGCACGCAGATCTGCATTTCAGTATTGCTCGGAGAACGAACAGATCGTCGAAGAGCAGTTTCATTGTTGGTGCCGAAGGTCCGTCGCAGGTAATCGGTGGCGGATCCGATGATAGTCTGGCAGCAGGGGTTACGTTGTGTAACCAGACACAGGTAGGTGTCCTATCTTGCTAGTAGCTGAAAGCATGTAGATGCTCCCCAAGACTGACAACGAACTGCCACTGCATCTTCTTGGACAGGCAGCTGCTAATTACACACAACAGCAGAAGGTCCTATCGGGTTCCCGGGTACAGCATGCAATTCTCCGGAATAGTTCAACCCTCGCATATCTGGTGAATCCAAAGCGTGTTGCCATTGCATCTCGACTCTAGACGAGCCCGAGGGCAACCACCCCCCCCCGGTACAGCGGCAGCAGCCATTTGAGGTAGATCTTTTCAACTACTCATCATGCTGAATCCGACCTGCTGACCTGCTAAAGATCTCCGGAGCACTCCGACCTCAGGATTATGAGCACAAAGCTACATGAGCCTGTGGTGCCCATTGCAGCTGCTGTGCAGAGACCGCCTCTGTACATGTCAGGCATGCCCTTGAAAACATCGACTGTGGTGGCAAGGTCACCCCTCTCTAAAACACTTGGGACCCTCCTGGCCGGCCCTCAAGCAGTCACTGCATCTGGCTGCTTCCAATCACCAGCGTTTGATCCCAAGAGTGAACACTTCTGCTTCATCTCGCCAAACGGGCACTTGCACTGGCGGTGGCAATCGAAATCGGAGCCACACTCATGGTGGCAAGTCATTGATGCCTCCACCTTCTCTTTGAGCCATGGCATGGAAGGAGAGGGACATGAGCCGTGGCAAGTAGAATCGCGATGGCAATTGTGATGACACTCCATGATCGGCTCCACCTCAGCACAGCTCTTCTTCAACTCCCACCAACTCGTTGTGCACTTCTCCAAGCATCCCATGTCGCTCTGGCACTTCTGGGTGCAGGTGATGACTTGCTGCGGCAGCTGCGATCCCCGCAAGAAGAGAGTAGCCGGATCCTGTTCGTGGTGGAAATGGTGCCAGTGCCCGTGGTGACCGTGGAAGGCATGGAAGCCATGGTGATGGGCGTGGTGAACGCCCTTGCCCTGGTGGAAGCCGTGGTGGAAGCCATGGTTGTGTCCATGGTGGAAGAACTTCCAAAGCCCTGCTTTTGGGCAGAGGTGGTGGCACTCACCCTCCTCGGTGCACGCGTCGTGGCAGTGCTGCACTTCCTCAAAGGCCTGGCACCTCAGCTGCAGATCCATCAGCGGCGTGGGACAGTGAAAGTGACACTCCTGATCTGAGCCGCAACGTTCGTGGCACTTGTTGGTGGCCTCGACCATCGCCTTCATACGAGGACAGCTTGGCAATGGGCATTCCTTGTGACACTCATCATCGTGACCACAGTTGCGGTGGCACTCCATAATGGGCACCACCTCGTGGCAAGTCTTCTTGAAACCAAGCCAGAAGGGCTTCGGACATTTCTCGATGCAGTCGGTGTCTCCAGCACAGCTCGCTTGACACGACCGGAATTTCCAAGCCAACATCTTGGCCGGTGGAGGCTGCACGCTATCAGTGGCAAAGTCTGGCTTCGCGAAAGCCTTCGCCTGGAAAACCTTGGGACACTGCTTGTGACAGGACCGGTCTTCACCGCAATTCTTGTGGCAAATTCCCGACATGCTCAATCGTCCGCACATCTGCCTGAATGATCTCACAGGTGCATTGCAAGCATCTCGGCATGTATCGTCAGAGCCGCAGTCGATGTTGCACTGGATGATGCCCTTTACTTTAGCTGCCATCTTCGGGCACTTTGGGAGAGGGCAAGTGCGGTGGCAATTCATGTTATCACCGCACGACTGATGGCACCGGATGATGTCAAAGCCGTGATTGCAGGTCTCTTCCATTTGAATCCATGGCTTTGGGCATTTGGATGTGCACTCCTCGTCTCCAGCGCACTTCTGTTTGCACATCCACCGGTCTCCCATTGACTTGTGCCATGTCTCGTGCCACTCTTTCGTTGGCCATTCAGCATCCTCGCCCACAAGCTGATTGAGGAAGCTTGGCCGGTAGTGGTATCCCGCCCCGATGAAGCCAAGAAGGCCAAGGGCGGAGAGAATGGAGGTGATCGTACAGCTCCAGTTCATTGTGTCCAACTGTGGCAGGTGAGCACACCTGCCCTTCGTTCTTCTACAAACCAAGACTGGCCCAAGCTCCGAAGCTTGAGCCACAGCGATAACACATGATTTCACATCATGATCCATGACGTCTTGTTCTTAGTGTATCCCGCGCTAGATGAAGCAAGACCAGGAAGGCCCTGCGGCCTGTGGAGAGGAGCCAGGTTGGCTAATTGCCGGCTTGGGCTGCCACCGGGTCGACCTGCCATAGCTCGGAAAGTTTCACACCCTGCGCCAGGCCAAAGCCCAAGAGGCGGCAGAACAGCGGAAACTGCGCATGACGAAATCCAGAGTCCAGAGCCCCTCCCAGGGTTCTTCTAGGGTTTCCCGATCATTCAGGGTTTGGGTCTTGGGCTTCTCGCAGCACTTTAGACTAGAGAGCCCAGCAAATGCTTGACCATGCCAGAGAAAACGACGTTTCGTGACTCTGAGGTGCTGTGCTGATGGTGCAGTCTCTGACTGCTCAGCATAATTCACCCGAGGTCTTTCTTGAATCTGGGTAGAAGAGGGCTTTGGCATGGGTCTCCCATGCCCACAGAGGACGTTACAAATGCGGTGAAGTGGGGGCCTGTAGGCGAGGCTTCGTCGCTCGGTCGCGCCACTCGACGCCCGGTGGCACCCAGCGCGCCGACTGCAGCTTCATGGAAGCACATGGATGGCCGATGCACACAATGTCAAGCCAAGCTTTCAAAATGCCTCCGGCAGGCTTGCGGCTGCGGGCTGGTGGCCCATTCGGGGTCAAAGTCGCCAAACCGCCTTAAGCTGACGTGCTGCAACTCTGACACCTCGTCATGACTCTACTCATACCACGTACTCCAGCCGATTCAAAGTGGCAGTGGCAGCGCAATGCTACCATGCACAGACTCTGAGAGCACAGCTGTAAGACATTCCGCCCAGGCCAAGCACCTTCAGCTTGAGTGGTCTTCTGCAGGCGAGAGCTGTCCGGAAAATTGTACCCTGCCTGGTCCCGGCGGCTTGTCAAGTGCGCTTTCTGCTAGAGCATCTGCCATAAACGGCTGAAGCTGTGTGGCTTGCGCACTTTGTCCGACAGAGCGGTCCGCTGTGTCCGAGTCGTTGCTAGAGCTCCGTTTAAACTGGAAATGGATCGGTGCTGGGAGGACTGGCTTTTATGACGTAGAAAGCAAGAGTGCAGTGCCCCAGAAGCTGAAGACGGCAGCAGGAAGCAGCTGTAGTTGAATGTAGTTGAGCTAATAGGCTAAGATGCAATGCCAAGCGCGAATCTTCCGGGGGTTCCGCTTGTGCTTAGACCACGACCATCATGGCTGTGCTAATTAGCCTGCGCCTGCGAGCTTTGGAAGGTATGTTGTCTGCTACATACCTGCATACTATTACGTGAATACGTGGCCCATACCCGCACACCTAGACTTACCACATCCTGAATGAGCAAAGATCTAGGGCTTGGCGGCTGGGGGCAGACCGTCGCCGGGCATTGCCAGGCAGAACACGGAGTCGACGTAGAGCGCGAGCCGCTCAGCCTGCCGGGGGAGTTCTCTTGCTTCTTGCGACGCAGGGCAGCACATGGAGGGCCTCTGCTGCATTGATTTGATCATCTTTGGTCACACTCCTAGGACTTCTCCGAAGATTGGCTTGACACTATGCTGTTAATACGACCGTAGGAGAACTACATTGCGGGCGTCTAGCCTACCTTCAAAACATCTGGCACGTGTCACGCTACAACCAAGCACTGCTCCTGGTATCTTCTGGTGCTTACGAGAACCATATTCTGCAATTTGATACCGCGCTCGCATCCAGGACCTAACATCCTCAACTCTCAGCCTCTAAAGGCCCAACGTGCTCACGCAGTCACAGAATTGAAAGCCACTTTGCAAGCCCGCATTGTACCATGCCAGATGAACATAGGTTGCTGAGTGCTCCATTGCTGCTTGATCCTGTGCATCTCGGATATTCTGTCATAGATGCTTTTGAGACTGATTGCTTTGACTGTCTCTAAATGCTGTCACCACTTCGCCACTACCACCAGTAATGCTCATCGCTACGCCGCTAACAGCGCTTCGCAGACTTCGCTCCGCCTCGTAGTCCCGAGCAAACCGGTACCGCGCTTCTTCGTGTGCATCGAAGACCTGGACAACTTGAAAAAGTCAGTGACTGAAGCGCAGGCGTGCTGTTGCCTTAAGGCTCTGGATTTGGGGGTATACACCCAGGGAATGGTTCGCCTGGATCAGCAGCCGCTCATCCTTCATGTCCGGTCGGCCGGCAGCTCCGGCAACCAGCAGCCTGCAATCAAAGCGAAGCTTGGATGCAAAACCTAGGCGGGTCGTTGGCCAAAGGCTTCGGTGTCCTTGAAGCTGCACCTATCATCCAACAGTTCGTTACGGTGCTACCCTGTCTCTGGGGAAGTACTGCCGGTTAGCAGCGGCGCGCATTTTCGGCAGCAGCATTCATAGGACCGGAGTGGCATGTTTCACCGACATCCTGCCTTAGTGGCAGATCTATAAGTTGAATCATTAGCCGAATTCTGCCACCATCAACCGATCCTCGGATATCGGGTGAACCACCGATCATCTCACTGACTGTCATCGGTCTCGTCCTCGTCCTCGTCCTCGTCATCATCTTGATTGACATTGCCTGCCTCAGATGGCGACTCGGCGGCACCAACGATCCACTCGCAAAGAGGCACAACGCACTACAACACTACTCAAGAGGACTTTGAGCAAAACAGAAGACCTCCCTCACAAAAGATGATCCGAGCCGCCTCCAGCCTCAGCTCTCTCCAGCCGAGATCCCTCAGCTCCTTCTGCACCTCCTCCGGGCGGGAGCTCATCACGGAGTCGAGGACCGTGACCTGCAGGCCACAGTTAGTGGAGCCTTAAAACCAAACTTTGGGTATTGTTTGTCGTTGCTCCCCACCTGCCCGCGAGTATCTAGTCGATCCAGCCGATGCTCAATGGCAATGCCAGATTCGTCGATCTGTCCTTGGTCACATGTCAATGCACAGCCACGGGCATGAAGGCCTCGCAGCTCGACATCCGAACATTGAAAGCCTGCGCCCCCAAACCTCTTCCATGCCGGACGGCGGAGATCTTCTCCCTGATCGCGCAATTGCAGAAGCTTGCTGTCGCGTCTGCGGAGCTCAAAGCCGATGCGCTTCAAATGGTTGCTGATGGCGATGGCAATCCTTACGATCGTAGAACCATAGAGATTCTCTAGCAAGTTTCAAGGACCAGATCCTGCCAGCAACGACGGGAGAGGCACCTTTGACAGCCAAGCGTCGCAGGGCAGAAGCCAAAGCCAACCAGCATGGCCATCAGCACAAAGAGCATATTGCTCCATGGAGAGTGAGCACAAACAGAGACGTGCACAATCCTGAATGCGTTGTGCACATTGGCGACAGCATAGCCGCAAAGCACTGACCACTGTAATCTGTACAAGCTAGATTGTTGCCAAGGCTCTGGTGGTAGTATGGCCAAATATTTCTCGCATGGAAGAAATCGTAGGCGGTGTGAGTGCTATTGAGGAAGGAATGGACCAGAGGCTCTGGGCTGATTTTGCTGAGTCCTGGACAGGTCAGCGCACCGGCATCCACAACCCAGCTGATCAAGGAGTAGAAACGCAGCACAGAGTAGAGTGCCGCTTCGAAGTTAGCCACAAGAGTAGCCAAGGGATTCACATTTGTGCCGTAGATGTAGTAGGCCCCCATGTGCTGGAGAATGGCGTCTACCTTGTACTTCTCATGCACCATTTCGGAAACGTCGAGTCGCTGGAGCGCCTGCCAACGAGCGAGGAGCATTGTAGGGACAGTGGGGGAAGTCAGGGATTAGGAAGTAGGGGCCGCTTGCCACAAATATGAAAGAGGTGTGTCCTACAGACTGCAGAGCCAGCAGCGGCCGGAAGACTAAGAAAAACAAAGAAAATGTCTGCCAGCAGCTGCCTGGACCAAGTTGTCGTCCACTTGCAAGCAGTATCCACTAACGATCAAAGACAGAAAGAACGCACCAGCACCAAACATGCCGGCCATGAGCATGAACATCACGATAATCGGGGCAAACGACTTCAGTGCGAGCTGCATGCGCGGGGCGTACAGTAGTTTGGGCTGATTCCAGATATAGCATGCCGTCGCCAAAATCGCGAAAACACCACCAATTAGAACGAAGCTTGGAATAAACGGATAATAAATTATTTTCCAGCCAGTGTGTCTGACTATCTCCCTAATTTTGTCCAGCAGCACTTCTGACGTGGTAAAGGACTCCCTGACGAGAAGAAGAATCGCATCCACTTCGTTGAACTGGACCTGCAATGTGCTTGCAAGGAGCTCGACTAAGTGAGTTGCCAAAGGGTTGTGGTTGCCGCATGTCTCGGGAATAGCGACCAGGCTTGCGTTGTAGCTCCTCTCCGCATGAAGAAGCTTTCCTGCCATACTACCCAGGTGCTTCATGGAATTTTCGAGGTGCTCCACGCGCTCGGCAATGGTGCTGATTTCTTTTCTCACTGACAGAAAGCGTAAGAGCTGCAATAGTGCAAAGAGCAACATGCAAACGACCGTCAAGCACACGATAGAACGCCTCCTCTCTGGTAACCACTCGCACTCATCGCCTGCGGAGCAATCAATGACCCAACACGTCTTGTAAGCAATCCATATGGTCACAAAGATGAAGACGATGGGCATAAAAAGACAAGACCGAGCCCAGTGTCTCCACTTGTCAAAAGAATCTGTTGGTAATGGCACAGGTGGCGCTGCCCCAAGTCTGAGGATAAGGTTGTTGTGAAATGTTGGATGTTTGGGAAGACCTCCCATGAAGCACTTGGCCACCTGTGGATATGCATCAGCATAGCAGAAGCCTGGCTCTGCAAAGCATGCCCCCAAAACGCACTCTGAGTTCTCCTGGCACTTTGCTGTGGCTCCGAGGCACGTCCAATATCTGTTGGTCTTGGCACATGGAACACAGTAAGCGGCGCAATCAGGCCAAGTGCAATTTTCGGACTCGTCTGGAGTCAAATCATGCAGTCGCACAAGCGAGGCATCGCCGATCACCAAGCTCATCACTCTGTCCATTAGCTCAGACTCTTCATGAGCTGTCCGGTTGGCTTCCATGGCTTTCATTTTCGCTATGAGGTCCTTTGCCTCCTCCTCAGTAATGGCCGGTAATGCCTGGCCTGCTGACGAGGGAAGAAAGACCATGGCCAGCGCTGCAACAAGGCCATGTCTTTGTGGCCACATCTTGCTGCAACACTGCTGCCTACATCCCAGATGCATCCTTTGAGCCGAATCTCTTTTCTCCATGCGATCATAGCACGAAACACACGAAAACACCCAGCGCCCATGGCGCATGCAGGGCTCGCCTCTCACGGAAAACAAAGTACGGTGGCTTGTCCTTGCACATGAGTTTACATCAACAAAACTGCCCCAGAAAAACAAAGAGACGGTTTCCATCCAGCCTTGATGGACCCGGCGAAGGAAACGACAAAGCGCCGCGTAGCGCTCAGCATGGCTTCCTGTTTCTTGCTGGGAAGACGATCGCAAGCAAAGCAAGCAAAGCGTGGCAAACATGAGCTGTTGAGCCTCCTGACCACAGTCGTACCGGGCGAAGTAAGGCACAGGAACCACGCGAAGCAGCTGATAGAGCCTCGCACGTCGGCTCTCAGAAACCTGCAAAAGCAAAGTCATCAGTAGCTGAAACTTGTACTTTATATGTGTTGTAAAAGCCTGCACACGTGCACCTCCCCTCTCCTACCTCTCAAGTGGTCGTGGATCATGAGTTCCCTCGGCATCGGCTCAGTTGAAGAGATGGCTCTGCTGCCCGATTCCCGATGGCATCTTGCGTCTTGTGCCAGCACTGGAAGTGAAAGCAATGCAAACACTGAGAACGGAGCCCGGCATCGAGCAAAGACGATCGGCGACCCTGATTCCAAAGAGAAACCTGCGGCAAAGAGGACCTATCTCTACTTTTACAGTCTATTTCGAAGCTAGAGACGAGTTCCGCAGATACCAACAATGCAAGAGGTTCCGGAATGCAATGGTTTTTGTAAGCTTGCAGGTCTGGAAACAGCCGGCCGACACGAGGATGGCATTCCCAAGGAAGGGGGAGTAGCTGTCGAGAACCAAGTGCCTGTGCACGAGTACAACGCTGCGTCCAAGAACCAATGCCGAACTGTCCCAGATTCTTAACCGATCAAATTTTCTGACAGGCTTCACGGCATGTCAGCATGTAAGTGCTCGTGACTTCAGGTTGTGCAGTTGTGCCGCTTGCTTGACTCGCGCCAGGCTTGTTTCACACTGTCTGCCACAGCGGACATTGCCGCAAGGATCGCTTGACTGGTCATGGTGCTTTGCCAATGCACTCACCCTCCTTGCACAGCCACCAGCACCTGCAGGAAGCAATCGGTAGAATCGGTAAGCGTTAGCAACGCACGAGTCTACATACTGGTACGAACTTGTTGAGAAGGCCGGGCGACGCCAAAGCTCAATGAGGCACTGGGCTCGGCTACGACCGGCGCGCGCAGAGCTTTTTTTCTGAGGATGGCTAGCGCGCTGCTTGCAAAGCGGTTTCGAGGACACTGAAGTCCGTGCTGCAAACGGGAAGGTTGGCAGGCCGTCCTTGCGAGTTTCTGCGCAGGACGATGTCCACGTATCGTCGCCAACGATGGGCAGATCCCTTACACAACAGCTCCGGGATGGCAGCAGTGATGTTCGTCGAGTTCGGGCCCCGGCTGTTGACTTGCTCGCGCCATGTCTCTGAGCCGTATGGCAGGACCAAACCTTGGCAAGGGGGTGGTTCTTCTGTGTGCAAATACAAGCAGGTCTCTGAGCCTGCACGTGCTTGCTGTGCGTAAACGGCATTGATGCCACAGTCATATGGATCGCAGGTTGCCACAAGCTGATTGACCGGCAGAGCCCTGATCTGTTCCTGAGAAAAGTTGAGCTCTTGCTTCATGACCACGTTGAACGGGGTAGGGGCAAACGTCAAAGCCTTCAGCAGCTTTGGCTGCTGTGCGGCTGTAACGATGCCGAGCATCCCTCCCAGCGAATGTCCAGTCAAGAGCAGCTGGTAGTCAGGTAGTGCAGTCTGCACCTGATGGATAAATTGATTTGCCTGTGCGGTGTAGTCCAAATATTGCTGGTGCTGAGCACAAGTTTCAGGGCTGAAGCCGCTGAGCCTTGCAACCGTCGAGGACAGGAGGCCGTAGTTTTGAATTCTGATGAGGTAGCATTGATCGATTTGGCATTGCTCGAGATGCGGATTTGTGCAGATCCCCTTGAAGACGACAACCCCTGCCTTGCTCTCTCGGTCTACAAACACTCTTGCGAAGACGCCACCAGGGGTGGGATCTCTGTCAAACTCATGGAGCCTCTCCCATTTCGACCCATCGACGGAGAATCCAGCGTCACCAGCATTGGCGGTGCTGGTACTTGTGTTGTCCAGTGGAAGCGATGTAGTGTATGTCAAAGTGACGGCCTGCACAAGCACACCCATTCTTGACAGGAATGTGCCTCGTGGGCTGTCAGCTAAGATAGCTTGCAGGTCCCAAAAGTCACCAGAGATCGGTCCACGATGCAAAGCATGTGACACCTGTAGCAGCTGCGTATTCAACTCGTGCTCCTCCAGGATGTCATCCTCTTCTTCCTCGCATTGCGGGTAGCTTTGCGACCTTGCCGTCGAAAGTCGAACCACGAGCGTCAATAATCGCAAGAACAGCCTCATGAATCGATCATCAGCAGCTGCATCGCGAGCTGCTAACAATGTAGATGGAAAGCTGCAGGAGGCCGCGGGGTTTCAATGCATCCTGCTACAAACCAAAATATCACGGCAAGAACAGAAGAAGGGCAACCTCTATGACCCGAATGCTTGGACATCTGGGGCGGCATCGGACAATCAGGCCTCACATCGGCAGAGTGGAAGGATCGCGTTGAGCATTCACCTTCCGCTGGAGGAGGGGGCCGGGGGTAGGGAGTAGGGAGCTGCTCGGAAGGCCAAGATGGGGTCAATCCTTGCAATTCGATTGAGACTCGGACCACCCACCAGTCATCCGTTGTTAGCAGTGAACGGGCTTTCTCCACGATCTCGAAATAGGATGCTTCCTGCCAATAGCTGCTCGGCAGAGTCCTGTACTTGCCTGTCCTCCTTCATCTTGAGCTGTCAAGCAGCAGACATAAACCCCATTGCGACAACGGCCTCTGGGCCCTTGCCTTGCATCTCCGCGCTCAACTCCGCCAATGCCTGGCTAGACAACGGGAGCAGAACAACTCTCGGCAGCCAAATTGCCCGAAATTATTCTTGAATGCCGTCTAGGCAAGACAAGCTGGGCTTTGATCTCTTCAGATCTCTTCTGCAATGTCCGTCAAAAGATGCTGGAAACAGCGGATGCAGGTCGCAGGCTGCCAACCACACGCAAAAACTCTCAGAATGCCATGCCGTCGTTGCCTTTCCGGCCCGCAGGCGGCAGCTTTGCAGAGTACGGAGAAACTTGACCTGTGACGTGCATAAGCTACTGAATTTTCTGAAGATGTTGAGAGCAGATCCGATGCCGTCGGAGGCTGGACCCACTCAATCTCTCAAGCCGCAAGCCGAAGCTGACCAAGCTAGCTGGCCAAGAGCGTCAGACGGCAGCTATCGACTCACAACATGAGAGCATTGAAAAGCCGCGTGCATGCCTTGGCAACTTTCATTGAGTACTTGTTTCAATCTCAAACGAGGTGTAACGTGACAGTGACCGAAGCTCCAGCCTCCGCATCGGTCAAATCCGGGTGCCAAATGTCGACAATGAGGACAACACGTGTCTCCGGACCTTCGTGCCAGGCCTTCGCAGCACATCGCGTTTTGCTCGGTTCTGCGCCCAAGCCAGCATGCTCCCCAAGCCGAGAGTCCTGCCTCGTGCTCGTAGGAATGGTCCCAAACGAAGGCTTCGCCTGCCTGGACCGCGGGGCCACATAAGGACAGCGGCGTGCAGCAGAGATGCCATGCGCCTTCGGCTTCAGGATCACGTCCCCGACCTCGGAGTTATGGATCGTCAAGGCTCCCTACTCTCTGGCTGCAGTTGCCAGGGCGACCACGCGAAGCCGGAAACCGTCAAAGCCACAAAGTGGAAGCCTCACTCGGAGCTCAGCGCTCGGGGTCACCAGAATGCAAAAGAAAGCAGGAAAATGTTCGGGAACTCGGGTCCGAGCCAGACTCGAAGCATGCGGTTGGAGGGTCCGAAATGCTTGACGATGTGAGATCCGGGTGTCAGCGCCGAGAAAAAAGCCTGGAGATGCACAGCTGGTCTGACGTAAACACCTGAAGGATGTGCCCGGAATTGTGATCGCAAGGACAGGGAAGACAGGTAAGCTTTTCTGGCTGGCTCGGTGGCCTTCTACGACCCTCGTCAAGTCAGGCGGGCGGACGTGAGAGTAGTGCCTGGGGAAAGCCTCCTGTCATTGGGCTTCTTGGAACCAAACTTGACGTTTCGAAACAATCTCGCTCCTTGATGGTGGCCACAGTAATCGGGAATCGTGCACAGTTGTCCTGAAGTCTGCCAGAGCAAACTAGGAAGGTCCGTGGGAACAACAAGCGAGACCAAGAGACGCTCCTCGAACTGCTTGTGGTTGAGGAACAGGTACAGCACGTTCCACATGCCTCTGTCAACGCCTGTCATGCGTTGACTGGCGGAGACTCTGAGCCTCTGAGCCTGGCCCTGGCTCGGCCTTCTACGCCCAAGCCGTCCTTCGCCTTCCGGTCCTCACCACCCGCGTGCATCGGGTCCTTCAAAGGCTTTAGGCCCAGGCGCATGACAGACTCAGGAAGTTTCTGAGTCAGAGTGAAAGCAGGTCCCGGTAGGGCTGGAAGCCGCTCGGCCGCGAGCCAGATCTGGCGAAAGTTTGGAGTCATTGAGCGAGCGCGTGCGCGGCGTGGGGGTGCCGCGGCGGGCGTGCGAGCGCATGGGCGCGTGAGCGCATGAGCTAAGGGAGGTCACTCTCCATCGTCTTGCGCATCTTTCGCTTGCTTGCAATTTTTCCACAGCCAGGGCACAGCCCAAGCTAATGACACTTAGCAGCTGTTGGTTCCGAACTTGGCCTGTCAGTGAAGTGCTTGCAGCTTTCAACACTCAGTGTTCGGGATGCAGCAGCCAGCGTCTTACCTGCTTACGTGCACAGTTGCCGCAATCTGTTTGCATGTTAGGCAAGCCAGGGACACAAGAACGTGTCAATCGGAACATACAGCACAACCAGAAGTCCTTAAGTGGAAATTGCCTACCATGAGTGTGAACATCCCTTGAGAAAGTTGTGGTGTGTGGTGTCGGTGTGTCTGTGTGTGCGGTGTGTGCGGTGTGTGCGGTGTGTGCGGTGTGTGCGGTGTGTGCGGTGTGTGCGGTGTGTGCGGTGTGTGCGGTGTGTGAGTGTGTGAGTGTGAGTGTGAGTGTGAGTGTGAGTGTGAGTGTGAGTGTGTGTGTGTGTGTATGTGTGTGAAGGTGGGTGCGTGTGTATGTGTGTGAAGGTGGGTGCGTGTGTGTGTGTGTGGTGTGTGGGTGTGGGTGTGGGTGTGTGTGTGTGTGTGTGTCTCTCTCTGTGTCTCTGTGTCTCTGTGTCTCTGTGTCTCTGTGTCTCTGTGTCTCTGTGTCTCTGTGTCTCTGTGTCTCTGTGTCTCTGTGTGTCCGTGTCCGAGAGGGTGTGTGTGTGTGTGTGTGTCTGTCTGTGCGTCTGCGCGTGTGTGTGCGTGTCTGTGTGTGTCGGTGTGTGTATGTGTGTGTCTGTGTCTGTGTCTGTCTGTGTGTGTGTGTGTGTCTGTGTGTGTGTCTGGGTGTGTCTGTCTGTCTCTGTCTGTCTGTCTGTTGTCTGTCTGTCTGTTGTCTGTCCTGTCTCTGTCCGTCTGTCCGTCTGTCCGTCTGTCTGTCTGTTTGTCTCTCTGTCCGTCTGTCTGTCTGCCTGCCTGCCTGCCTGGCTCTCTGTCTGTCGGTCTGTCTGCCTCTCGGTCTCTCTGTCTCTGTCTCTGTCTCTGTCTCTGTCTTTGTTTTTGTTTCTGTCCCTGTCTCTGTCTCTGTCTCTGTCTGTCTGTCGCTGTCAAAATGTCTGTCTGTCTGTCTGTCTGTCTCTGTCTGTCTGTATGTCTCTGTCTGTCTCTGTCTGTCTTGAATG